AATCTTCAGATTCCTAACGTTTGCATCCTTAGTCTGTGTTAGGAATTCTGTACAGTGTCTTACATCCCTGTAAGTCACTTCCTCCCCCTAGCAACCTAGGATGATCTATCGCTATACCAACTTACTGATGAGGAAAGTGGGGCTTAGGGAAATTAAATAGCTGTTATAGGACTTCCAAAGCAGGGAGACAGTAGGCTTTTAGAAATTTGATAAAAATAGCACTTTGCATTGCTTGAATCTTGAACTAAGTGCAAATTAATACTAAACATTCTCCACTGGTAAAATAGAGAATAAGGATATTAACAGTAAAAGAAAAGAAGAAGAAAAGGAAATATGCTTCCATAGATTTAGAAACATGAATAAAAAGCTAAGCTAAGGCTTTGGTGATTAGATGTTCATGTTGGAAGACGTATTGGATGGCTCAGTGATTGCTGTGTAATTACAAACTCTAGAAAGCTTATAATACAGAGATCTTTTCATGAGATCTTACATTTTTTATGAATATATTTTCATTTACCATGGTTAGTCTCCTAACTGGTTAAATTGCTTCCAGAGAGTCAAAAGTTGACTCTGTGTAGAGTGACATCAGAAAGTCTTTAATTTCTGGCCAGGCATGGTGGCTCATGCCTATAATCCCAGCACTTTGAGATGCCAAGGTGGACAGATCACTTGACGCCAGGGTTCGACACCAGCCTGGCCAACGTGGCAAAACCCTGTCTCTACTAAAAATGTAAAAATTAGCCAGGCAGAGGTTGCAGTGAGCTGAGATCATTCCACTGCACTCTAGCCTGGGCAACAAAGTGAAATTGTATCTCAAATTTAAAAAAAAAAAAAAAGAAAAGAAAATCTTTAATTTGTGAACAAAAGTGGAACTTTGGGTGAGTGCTTACATTTTAACAGCCTCCAGAGTGCCCTGCCGTCTACCTTTGTTGCTCCCTAGAGATCAGCATTTCACTTTTTCCCACCTTTACTGATACTTTTCTTTCTGCCTTGTTATAGAATTATATTTAGTATAGAAAACTCTGAAATAGATATAGCAAAAAAAAAAGAAAAGAAATATCGCTTGCCATTCAGACCGTTGTAAGTACTGTACGTGTGTTGCTCATTTTTGGCTCTCTCTGCTACATCGTGCCTTGGGTGTTTACCCAATATTTATTATTCTTGAGCAACTCTCCTCAGACTCATCAGCATGAGGAAAGAAACTCTGAACCCCTTTCCCTTCCTGCCACTTTCAGCCTTTCAAAGAGATCTCAAGTGCCACTCAGTATAACAGCAATGTCTGAAGTTTATTTTTACCATTTTCTTATGATAGCCAATGAATTTATTAGGAGTTTTTGAGACAATAAATGCTCTTTTGTTTAATTTTTACAGTTTTATTATTCTTGCCATTCCTTGAGGTAGTTGAGTCTTCCTGTTTCCTCAGTAACATTCCTTTAATAATTTGTTTTTTTCTTGGAAGTAGAGTCTCACTCTGTTGCCCAGGCTGGAGTGCAGTGGCACAATCTCAGTTCACTGCAACCTCCCCGTCCCGGGCTCAAGCAATCCTCCCACCTTAGCCTCCCAAGTTGCTAAGACTTCAGGCACGTTCCACTATGCCCAGCTAAGTTTTGTATTTTTTGTAGATATGGGATCTTACTGTGTTGCCCAAGCTGGTCTTGCCCTCCTGGCTTCAAGCAATCTGCCCACCTCAGCCTCCCAAAGTGCTGGGATTACAGGAATGGACCACCGCACCTGGCCCATTCTTTTAATCTTGATCTAACCCCTTTATATGTGATAAACTACCAATTATCATTAAAAAGTGAAAATACTCATCTCAGGTCTCACCCACTCTTTTTCTTTTTTTTTTTTTTTTTTTTGAGACAGTTTTGCTCTTGTTGCCTAGGCTGGAGTGCAGTGGTGCGGTCTTGGCTCCCTGCAACCTCCACCTCCTGGATCCAAGCAAGTCTTCTTCAGCCTCCGGAGTAGCTGGAATTACAGGTGCCCACCACCGTGTCCAGCTAATTTTTGTATTTTAGTAGAGACGGGGTTTCACCTTGTTGGCCAGGCTGGTCTTGAGCTCCTGAGCTCAGGCAATCCACCTGCCTCGGCCTCCCCAAAGTGCTGGGATTGTAGGTGTGAGCCACCATGACTGGCCACCCACTCTTATTTTTTAAGAACAATTGTCTATTTTATAGTCAAAGCCATAAATCAAACTTCTATATTCTACACACTTGATTTAGCAGGTATATGTGGGAGGCCTAATGAAAACCAGTTTTCATTTTTATTTCTCTTATTGTCGGGCTCAAAACTTACAGGGCTCAAAACCTTTTCCACACAGATGGAACCTACTAAGGAGTGAAAAACAATGTTCGGTGAGCTTCATTTTGTAATCCTGAGAAAATGTATCTGTGATCGTAGGATTCTGCTGCCTCAAGTCTGTCAGCTTCTTCCATTGCATCTTCTGAGAAGGGCTTCCTGCCTCTCCACCAGCGGGTCCTTTCCTGCCCTGAGACTGGGAGAGTCTTCCAGCTTCTAGGTTTCTGTGACCTCAGTTAGCAAAGGCAGGAAAAAAAATACAACAGGTAGAGTTGGGATTTGCTCCAAAGTCTGGAGGCTTTGAGCAATTGTGTGTTTCTCTTGCCCCTACTTTCTTTCTTTCTTTTTTTGTAAGACTGAATTTCTCTCTGTTGCCCAGGCTGGAGTTCAGTGGTATGATCATAGCTCACTCTACTCACCACAGGCCTGACCTCCTGAGCTCAAGTGATCCTCCCACCTCAGCCTCCCGAGTAGCTAGGACTACAAGCGCTTGCCACCATGCCCAGCTAATTTTTTTCATTCATTTTTTTGTGATAGTGAGGTTCTCCCTATGTTGCCCAGGCTAGTCTCGAACTGCTGGCCCCAAGCAATCCTCCCGTCTCAGCCTCCCAAAGTGCTGGGATTACAGGAGTGAGCCACCTCACCTGGCCTCCCCTACATTCTTGACTTCCGGATATTTGCCTAAAGCAATGGCTGTAGTGACTTTCCCTGCCCCCTTTCTCTAGGTATTTGGTTTTCTTTGTTCTAAGTTCCTCTGATGAGGATCACCTAGCAGAGAGTGGTTGAGGCCTTTTTATTCTTCCTGGAAGAATAAAAAGAATTCTTCCTGGGTCTCTGGTCTCTTCCAGGACCCCCTTTCATTTCTCCACAGGGCTGTGGCTGTCCTGGCCCTCTGTCCCCAGCCCGTGTTACCCATCGTCTTATAATGGAAATGCTCTGTGATTTTCTATGCTTTCTTTTTTCCTTTTTTCTGTGCATAGCAGCTCTTCAAATCTATCATCCTGTTTTTATCTCGCACTTTTATTTACCGTGCACCCGTAGAACTTTATTATTTGTGGTCTACTTCAGGGTATTTCTTTCACAGTTGATGAAGGCTATAAACTTCAGAGCAGAGAATCAGAGGGCCCTAAGCAACCCTCACCTTTATAGTGAGACTGTGTTCACCTAGAAAAGGCTTTTTATGAGGTCACTTCGGCTAATCATTTTTCTAATGGTGTCACTCCCTTTTTCTCTTAAAGATCTCTTCAAGTTCTTTTACGTTTTTTTTTTAACCCCTATGTGCATCTTGAGTTTTTGTCTGGAGATCTATCATTTGGCTTTTTGGCTTTTGAGTATAGCCGTTGGTGTTCAAATATTCTTTTTCTTCTAGTGGATGTTTATGTCTGATATGGGTGAGACTAAGTTCTAAATAATATACACACATATGTGTAATCTACACACAATGGTGATATGGATCATGGATACTATATAATTCAATTATGATGGTACTTAGAGGTTCCTATATGTTAATAGTCCATATGGATATATCTATATGCATATGCAGTAAGATATGCAGCTATGACACCCCATTGGCTGATTTGGGGTACAACAGGAAGTCACTCTCCTTGCATGAGGATTATAGAAATTTTCATTTTTTAAGGCACAAGAAATATTTCACTGCAATGGTTTTTTTTGTTTTTTGTTTTGTTTTGTTTTGTTTTGTTTTGTTTTAAGTTGCTCAAAAATAAGTCAGATGCAGTGGCTCACAACCGTAATTCCAGCACTTTAGGAGGCCGAAGCAGGCAGATCACTTGAGGTCAGGAGTTTGAGATCAGCCTGGCCAACGTGGTAAAACACCATCTCTACTAAATATACAAAAATTAGCCAGGTGTGGTGGTAGACGCCTGTAATCCCACCTACTCAGGAGGCTGACGCAGAAGAATCACTTTAACTCAGGAAGCAGAGGGTGCGGTGAGCCAAGACTGTGCCACTGCGCTCCAGCCTGGGTGACAGAGCGAGACTCTTGTCTCAAAAAAAAAAAAAAAAAAAAAAGTGAGTGGGATCAATGAGAATTAAAATATTTAAATACTGGCATAGTAAGCAAGCATTGTAAACTGACAGTACACTCCACGATCCACCAGGTTTGAATATTAGAATTTGTGCCCTGAATTAAACAGTGTGGATCTTCTGTTTCTGTATGTGTTCGCCTTGGGTGTGTCATCCTGCATGGCAAAGCCTGGGCAGATAGCACTGCACTCACAGACCTGCTCCTGTAGAGCAACCCAGTGGCCAGTGATCCCGGGGCCAGTGACGATCAAGATGGCAGCCTGGGTCATCACCAGTAGACTGCATTCTGGCTAAGAAAGGTATTTCATTTGGGTTGGGCAGGCTTCAGTAAGTCCTCTGCAGCTCTGGAACAACCTCAGGGACAGTGCATCAACATAACACATTCTCCAATTATACAAGGTGAATTCAGAAGTACCTATGGCAGGATAGTTTGGGGGCAAACCCATCACTAGTTAAGGTTTCAACACATCTTTATAAAATATAAGGCTGTCAAATACAACTGTAATCATTTTTCTTTCTTTTGGGGGTAGAAGAGTTAACTGTGCTACATTTTCATCATGAATAAATAGGTGGTCCATTTGGTCAACCTATTCTTTTTCTCTTCCATGTTTTCACCCCTTTTCTTTTCTATTTTTTTCTTGTTTTCTCCTGGTCCACAGGCTTTGAAGGGCATGCTGATCTCTCTTCAGGCAGAACTTGACATTCAAAGGTACTTGATGAAAATTGAATCGTCTCAGCGAGTTAGTACTCTACCTGTTCTTTTTCTGCATTGAGTTGCACCCTCATCCTGCACCTTTTTTCCTCGCCTGCGAGTGGCCTTCTAATCAGTGTCAGTGACTAAACCAGATGCCTACCCTTTTTGCTGTTTACCCCAATCGCTGATTCAAAACTATCAGAGCCAACTGCTTGCGGCATTCTGAAATATGTGCATTTCTAAAAAGTATGAGAGTCGATATTAAAATGAACACTAATTGCATGCTTGCTTTGAAATATTTAATTTGCTCTCCACAGATTGGCTTGTGGAATCAGCAGTAATGCAACAGCAAGCTGGAGATCTTTGAATACTTGTTTGAAAAGCGAGCATCTCTCTGCAGAGCTCCCATCCTTGCCAGCTTGCTCAGGCAGAATGCTCATGGCAGTTAAAACAGAAGCCTGCATCATTCAGACAGTCCCAAAACGCTGTCACTCTGCTTTGCCCAGTTCCAATGTATTCCATGTTGGGTCCAGATCATTTTACTTATAGACATTTTAATAATGATCACAGTGCAAATAAACACATTTCTATGGAACTTATATGCACCAGGCACTGTTCTAAGTTCTCACAGCAACCCTGTGGGGTACGTATACTATGATCCCCATTTTACAGATGAGGTGATTGAGGCCCAGAGAAGTTAAGTAACTTGCCCAAGGTCACACAGCTAATTAATGGCTATGCTTAGGAAATGTTCACCCATCTGGCTTTTGTACAAAGGTGATCTCCTCCCCTTTGGTCTGTCATCAGTGACCATGCTTATCTCTTTATCTTCCCCTTCTTAATAATCAGTCTCCATGATTTCTTTTTAGTGTAACAAGCTGAATCTAGAGAGTTCCTACCCAAGCAAATAAATGTAAAAGTTCAAGTTTAGGCACTAAAGAGAATTGTCATATCCCATATCATCCCAATTCTAATGGACATTTATCCTTAATTTTTTTCCATGAAAATGTGAGTCATTTTCACATTCCTATAATTCATGCAAAGTAGAGGCATCTTTATGATTTCATTGCGCATGTATTCTGTGCTAAATAAAAATGCAGAAAGGGAGAAGGGCATAGTGAGCTCTCCCCTACGACTTCACACCCTGCCATTAACCATTCTTCCTGCTTTCAGGATATAGATTTAACATAGCCCAGTGGGATTTTCCCATCATAAGTAGTACAGAGTTTGGGATTCCCTCCCACTCTTCTTTTTTAATACTGCTTGAAACAAATAAATCTTCAGGACTCACTCCTTTTCTTTCTTTTTTTTTCATATCAGCAAATAATTGAATATCTGAGCATTTTCTTGAAGTGCTTTTTTTGGCATTTATAAGCAGGTTAAATTATAATGCTGTTTTTTGGAGATGGAATAGGATGAAGATTAAGGTTGAAAATCGAAGATGTTTTTCTTCCCCTTTAGTAAATGAGTAACTCTCAGATCCTGTGCAGATGTCAAGTTCTGTTTTGAAATTGGATGTAACTATTTACCTATCTCACAAGCCCAAGAAAGACATGGTGGATCCATTAGAGGGTCGTTTGTACGCCTCCCCTCTCGCAAGGGATCCCACAGGCCGTGGGACTTCCTGAGTATGGTGGGAACTGAGCCATCTAGAATCATTCTGCTGATTCTAGAGAGTAATACCAGCTTACTACCTAAGGATACCTAATGCTTGGCATCTTTTATGATTTACCAATTGCTGTCCCATGCAATGTTTTTCCAATTGCTCCTTACTTTGTCAAATAGGTATTCTGATTATTTTATGAAAGAGAGAACTAAGGGTCACAAAGTTTCATACGACATTACACCATAAGTTCATGGCAGGATGAGAGTCTGCTTTACATAAAATAACCTGATAAAAACAGCAAGTCCTTTTATGATCAATTTTGTCTTCTGTCTGTTTCTGCAAACACTGATATTCTTTCCTATAGCAGGACTGGAAGATCAGAATCTGGCGCAGAAGGCTAGTTAGAACTTTCACAAGGTGTTTGTTTTTTTCATTTCAAAATCATTCCGGTGAAATTGGGCAGGTGGAGGTGGTGATTGTTTTGGGCTGTGGGGATGGGGAATATGTTTGAAATTAACAGGGAACTCTGTTCCCAGGATGTATGGGGAGTATCTAAGGATCTGTGTCCATAAGCTCAGCCTTGGTGACCCCAGGAACCCACAAGAGTCCCTGTGGTCCAGTTCCCTGTGGCCTTCTCCAGTGTGGGGTGGTGAGGACGTCATAAGACCTCCCATGGCTCAGTCCAAACCCTCACTGAGGGTGAGGGTCTTTGCTATCAAGGAAAGCCTCTTTGGTTTGGCAGCAATGCAGTTAAGCTTTAGGGACACCATCCTGTGGCTTAGGATCGCACATCCTCTCCATAAAGCACTGAAGCCTAGGTTGCAGAGATGAGCTTAAGAATGGCTTTTGTTAAGGAGGCCTTCTAAGGTATGTACTTAGCACCATGTTGTGCTGGTTGAATTTTACTTGAAATTTCAAAGGCTACAAGCAGGTTCTTTTCCTTTTATCAGTATAATAACAGCAATCCCCACACAGACACCTTTTATCCTATAGCCTTTTAAAGTGAATTCCTGACTCCCTGAATTACAAAAGCATCTGCAGCCTTGCTCAGAACTCAACCAGTGAGGACTTTGGGAGCCAAAGCCTGTCCAACTTTTTGCTTATTAATAAGGCATTACTTTGCTTGTTTCAGAGAGAAAGAAGAGAAAGAATAAGTAACTGCTTTATTCAAGGCAACTTGCAATAAAAATACATCTACTCTAAGGTAGATACACTGAAAGCCAAAAGGCAAAATCTGATAAGAAGAGGAAGCAAATTTTCAAATGTAGGCACTATGATTAGCTTGGACATTAAACTTAGTTTCAAGCTCCCTGACGTACATACATCACATAATTCTCGTTATATGACAAGGTCATACTAATCCTTCAGGAAGCAAAATTATTTTCTTTGTTTTAAATTCTAAAGGAAACATAATTCATGCCTTTACAAGAGTTATGTTAATCAGCATAGTAGGCAGGACTAACAGGTAAACAGCAATATTCGTCATCTGGCTTTTGTTTTCTTTAGAGACAGGATCTCCCTGTGTTACCCAGGCTGTAGTACAGTGCCATGATCATAGCTCACTGCAGCCTCGAACTGCCAGGTTCAAGGGATCCTCCCCTACAGTGTACACCACTACTCCTGGCTAATTTTCATGTCTTTTTTATAGAGATGGGGTCTCACTACATTGTCCAGGCTGGTCTCAAACTCCTGGCCTCATTTATCCTCCTTCCTCAGCCTCTCAAAGTGGGAGTATAGATGTAAGCCAGCACACCTAGCCAAGGCTTTTAATTTTGTATTGGCAAAATGAAAAGAGGAACATATCACTAAATAAAAATTGCATGAATGTATTTCTGAAAGGGGTGAAGGTCAGACTTGAAACTTTTGATGATCTAATTTTCTAACTTGGTAGAAGGATGCTAAATGGAGACTATGGCAGAGCCAGGCTTTATTTTCTTTAAATAGCTGTTATCTCATTCTGGCTTTGGGGAGGAGTCAGAGAGCAGCCAATTCAAGGTGGTATTTCAATAGAGTCCGTATCATGTTACAGGTAAGCCAGTAGGCAGGCACATAGCAGGTTGATGTCTAATCCTGGAGTTGAGAAGGCCACCCTACCTCTGATCTGATAAGAACTCCTGTCTCCTCTGCAAGACAACAGATTTAGTAGCTTTTCTAGGCAGAACCAAATCTTTCAAGGGGAAAAAAAAAAAGAATACTGTATCATCTACAAACTATGAAGAGGATGAAAGGTAGAAAATATCTGGGGGATCATAGAAAATTGCTAAAATTATAAATTTACCTGGAATCAAATTTTAAGAGCCTTTAGATTAAAGTACTGTAGTGGTATCAGAACGAAAGATGTGGAAGTCTGTCTCTTTAAAAGCTGGAGTGCAGTCTGCATGTCTGAAGCTCATTTAATGGCTTTGGTGCTTCCTTCTTAACTGTATCTTTTTGTAGATGTGGAAGTTCTTGCGATTCTGGATTCTTGCCAAATATTGCATGGTATGAAAATGAAAATGTATTTCCCTTCCCACATTTTCCCTGTGCATTTGTGTTCTCATTTTGGGGGCCATCTCTAAGGACAAATTCTTAAACCTAGAATCCAGTCATACAGAATACACAGGAGAAGAACAATCTATGGGACTATGGAATCAATGTCATGCTTGCTACCTCAGGGACAGGATCAATTGTCCCCTAAACCTCAGCATTTTGCATTATACCCATGTAACAAACTTGCACACTAAAATAAATCTAAATCTGAAACAAAAGGTGAAATTATTAAGAAAAGAAAGTATGCTCCTCATAATGCTACCATCAAGAGAAAACTAGTGCTGATATTTGGCTATATTGTGTTCATTTACTAAATTATACCCACCCAAAAATTCCTTTAAAACACCTTTATTATGAATGTAGTAGCAGTCTAGAGTACACATACATTGTAATTTGTTAACCAGCTTTCCAAATTGTTTCTTGATTTATTTATTCTATTAAAGATGTAATATGTACAGATTTGCTTCCCGACCCTCCAGTACTAGAACTAAACCACCACTTTTCTTAATTTTCCAAAATCAAACTAATCTATCCAGCAATTATTGAGAAATTCATTCTCATCATATTAAGAGGAGCATCGTCCTCTCACTTGGAGTCATAAGGAAATCATGGGGAGCTTGTGCAGTCCAGTGAAACCAAGCCAAGGCCTCTGAGTCTCCTGGGACTCATAGTGAATTGCCTTCCATGCAGCCTGTTTGCAACCAGGTTTATGGGGACCTTTGCCAAGTATCCTAAGTGTGAGCAGCTGGTTTCAGCCACTCTAAGCATGTCACACATCCATCCTCCCACCTGTGGGTTACTTCTTGCAAATCGAATACAGGTCTTCCCAATTTCAAGAGCACCAGCACCACCACTGACAACAAAACTGCCACCCTCTTCTTGGTTCTGGGAAGTCGTCCACTCCCCTCTCC